CCTTGAGTTGCGTCATAAAGATCAGGTCAAGGTCACAATGATGTTTTTAAATGGATACCCCCATTTTTTATTGTATATTCTTGTAGCTTATCTCGAGAGCTTTCCAAAACACTATACTTAAGTATTTTTTCGTTAAGTACTTTTCGAGTTAAGAGGCTTCAAAGTTACGCTCTTTAGCATTAGCGCGCGGCCGATTAAGGCAAGAGGAAAATCATATCCGGCCGATTAAGGTAAGCTAAGGCAGAGAAAAACGTAAACACAAGCGCGGTAAACGAGAGCTGCCCTTGCGTTTACGTTTTTTAGGCCATCAGCCTTACGCTATTTACTATTAATACGAGCGCGCGTTCGTGCTCGTCACTACGGTATCCACGCGCGCTAATGCTAAAGAGCGTAACTTTGAAGCCTCTTAACTCGAAAAGTACTTAACGAAAAAATACTTAAGTATAGTGTTTTGGAAAGCTCTCGAGATAAGCTACAAGAATATACAATAAAAAATGGGGGTATCCATTTAAAAACATCATTGTGACCTTGACCTGATCTTTATGACGCAACTCAAGGTCAAACTGCTAATATCGTAAAATGGATCTTTTTAAACCCTACAACTTTTGTATTTAACATTTTTTGATACAACGCTTTGTTTTCGAGATATTCAGGTGTTCCGGTATATAATATTCACCCTGTATAACCATGGACCACAAGCGGCAATTCTAAGCGTCTGTCAACATCTGTAACGCCGGCAGGACCAAACAACGGCAAAAGAAGGAACTCAGTAGAGCAAAACAGAGTTAGCAACGTAAGGGCTATCGCACACAAATTGACATAACTGCATATGCATAGCATAAGACCGTATGTACCAATGAGCATCGAGTATTAAGTCGCCATATTGGTGTTCGATGCTTAATATTCGATGCTCATTGGTCCATACGATCTTATGCTATTCATATGCAGTTATGTCAATTTGTGTGCGATAGCCCTAAATGCTTCTAATGTCCGCGAATCACATGGTGATACATATTGGAAAAACCTAATAGAAGTAATAAAAAGAATTAGACTTTCTTGAAAACCACAAATACTTTATAACAAAATTAATTATAGAAAATTATGTTAAAATTGTTATGAATTATGTATTGTATGAATTATGAAGGAAAATTAATGAGCCAAAAATGTCAATATATCAGACATAAATTGACCAAAATTATTTTATTACAATAATATACCATCATTTGGGGTAACTTTTATATCGTTGATATGAAAATTTTACCTTTATTCGTTTAATGATGCCACATGTTTGTAAGCCGTTGCAAATTGTTCAAAGTTACTCTGGTGTTCCAAGTTACCTCAAAGGATGATATTTTAAATAATGTTTTAAAAAATGTTGGACGTTCTTTTTATAATATTACATATATATTATATAAACATTTTTAATATATACATATATATATATATATATATATATATATTTTTTTTTTATTCATATATTATAGATCTCTTATTATATAAATATATTATATAAATATTACATATTATGTAATATAATAAATACAAATTTGGTATAAAGTAATATAAATATCTTATTTTGTGTTTTTATATTTTTCTTGCAAATTAGATTTTTTTCTTGTTACTTTAAAAATTGTTGATTTTTATATTATAGCAAAGTTGTATAACTTTTTTTTTTAATGTAATAATTTATTTGAAGAAAAAATGAAAGTATCTGTTATTGACGATTAAAAAAATATCATAATTTTTCATTTATTTTAATGATAACTGCAATTTATGATCACGGATACACACACAAAATATCTTTCATATGGTAAAATAGAAATCACAAGTATGGGATAGTTTACGTAATAGCCGTTGTTTGGTCCTGGCGGCGCTGCAGATGTTGACAGACGTTTTACTGCAGACATAAGATAGCGGCTAACGATCCATGGTTATATAGTCAAAGGTCATACGGCGTATTGTGTTCCAGGCTTTATGATTATGTCTACGGCAATTTGTGTGCAAAGGCTTTAATGGCTCCTGTACACAGGACGCGGTAATGCTTGCCACGTGGCGGAAGTTTGCATGACAGCCAATCAATATGTTGTTTTTCCATAAGAGCTAGAAGGTTATTACGGAAAGCAGCATATTGATTGGCTGTCGCATGAACTTCCGCCGCGCAGTAAGCATTCACACAGGACCGCGTCCTGTGTGCAGGAACCATAATTCCTTACAGCTTATAGCTTACTACATCTATTGTAGATCGGGACTTAGGGCCGTGGCACACAGAAAAACTTAAGCAGTAAAACGTAATCAATAAGCAAATTGACCAATCACAGTCGTTGATTCTTGGACCGTAAGAAGAATCAATGACTGTGATTGGTCAATTTGCTTACTGCTTACGTTTTATTGCTTAAGTTTTTCTGTGTGCTACGGCCCTTAGGTCCATATTCTGAACTAGAGATGCCCTATTCTTAATCAATTCGATTCTTTCCCTAACAAATTTAGGGTAAAAGGATTGTTCGTGCTGCTTGTATGTTTCATAATTTTCGCTTTTAAAAAGAGATGGATACCTAATCAGACGCTTGAAAGAAACTATCGAGTTGGTTGTCTCGTTTTTGCTTCTTCCAAACATTCCAATATACTTTTGTCTGGTTTTAAATACGAAAAGTGCGAAGAATGCAAACAACACTAATAACTCTATTTTTGAGGAAAGAATCGAATCGATTCAAAATCGGGTATTTCTATTCTGAATTCTCTTTTATCAATAAAAGTGCCTTGAATATAGCTTCTCGGCCAATCAGGTGGCTCCTGAGCCTCTACTAAAAACATGTTTATAGATAAAAGGGGATTCAGAATATGGGTGCGTTTCTACTGAGCGCGTCACGTGTCACGTCGTCCGAGTTAAACCAATCAAACCGTCCCATTTTATTCGGTGTAAAGTTGTGCAATAAAATAGGGCTGCGTTCCGAAATTCACTGCCAGTACTGAAATCCTATAATATACGTAACATGAACTATAGATTTTCAGTACTAGAAGTGCATTTCGGAACGCAGCCTAGGACGATTTGATTAGCTTAACTAGGACGACACGACGCGTGACGCGCTAAATGGGAACGCACCCTTATGGCTTTTGCACACAGGACGCGGTAATGCTTGCCGCGCGATGGAAGTTAACGCGACGGGTATATCAGTTGGATACGGGGCAATTGGACACAGTCCAATCACAAGTCGTTGTTCCAAGGGACCCTACAAATGCTTTAATCATACGGTGCTGTGATTGGCTGTGTCCAAATGCACCGTGTCCAAGTGCACCGCTCTCAACGCGACAGCCAATCAATATGAAGCTTTCCGTAACAACGGAATCTTCTAGCTCTTACGGAAAAACAACGTATTGATTGGCTGTCACGCGGACTTCCGCCGCGCGGCAAACATTACCGCGTCCTGTGTGCAGGAGCTATTATTCTTGAAATAGTTGCGTATACGTAAGTTTTAGGGTGCTATTTCACGTGAAATATCAGCCTTAGGACCCTCACATATGAAATGACAAAACTGTATGTACATAGCATAAGACTGTATGGACCAACGAGCATCGAGTATTTAGCCGCCATGTTGATGCTTGATGCTCAATACTCGATGCTCATTGGTCCATACTTATGCTATGCACATGCAGTTATGTCATTTCATGTGTGAGGGCCCTTAAGGTGGAGTTCCATGATATGTATTTTCCGCGTACCGCATAAGCGCGTAACCAATAAATTGCGACGTATAGTATTTCTATTGGAACTTCTAAAAGAATAGAAAAATGTGATTGGTTACGCGGTTACGCGTTATGTGAAAATACGTGCCATGGGATTCCACCCTTACTGCGCAGGTTTAATCATATCATAAAATAACTGCGCACTGAAAATTACGTATACGCAAAAATTTCAAGAATAGGAGCTTAGGGGCCCGATTCTTGACGGTGTGCGAATGAGATACGCATGCGAAAATCTACAGTATATGTAACGTGAACTAAACATTTTCGCATGCATATCTCATTCGCATATCATCAAGAATCGAGCCCCTGTTCTTTTTCTCTGTACTGCTGAAATGGTGCAATAAGTTAAAGCGAGACACATATGTTTTCTCATTAGGTTTGTTCGAGTTGCTTGTACTTTTCACACTTTTACACCTAATGCTCGTTGCACACTAGTGCACCTCAAACAACACAAATTTTCCAAAATACATTCTGAAGACATTTTCAGGACGGAGGGACGTCATCAGAGTATTCTTAGGACGTTCTTTGAAGGTGTGAATTGTCTGAAAATAGCTAATATCCAATAAGTTCATTCGTATTAATTGAACTTTTTACACTTTCACACTTAGTCACATTAATTCTTTATGACTCCTGCACGCAGGACGCGGTAAGCATTACCGCGTCCTGCGTGCAGAATCCATTAAGCCCGCATCAGACTAAGGATTAAGATTGAGATTGAATTGAAAATTGGCCAATCAAAGCAAAATTCACTAAACTTGAGCTTAGTGAATTTTGCTCTGATTGGCTAAATTTCAATTCAATCTCAATCCTAATCTATAGTCTGATACGGGCTTTAGAGGTTCTAAAAATGGCGTCATGTTTTCCGTTCGTGTTACGAGTGTAAATGCAATTCGGATACACTTTTAACTCTTGCTTGGGATCAAGTGTAAAAAGTGTATTAGAATTGCATTTACACTCGTAACACGAACGGAAATCATGACGTCATTTTTGAACCTCTAAAGAATTAATGTGCACTAAGTGTGAAAGTGTAAAAAGTTCAATTAATGCGAATAAACTTATTGGATATTAGCTATTTTCAGATAATTCATACTTTCAAAGGACGTCCTAAGAATATTCTGATAACGTCCCTCCGTCCTGAAAACGTCTTCAGAATGTATTTTTGAAAATTTGTGATGTTTGGAGTGCACTAGTGTGCAACGGGCATTAGGTGTAAAAGTGTGAAAAGTACAAGCAACTCGAACAAACCTTATTTTTGGTCTGTCCTTTCGCCTGCACTGCTGCACTGGTGCAATAAGTTAGAGTGAGACAAATATATATTTGTCTCATTCTAACTTATTGCACCAGTGCAGCAGTGCAGAGCAAAAGAACAGACCTTTTAACGTATTGCACTAGTGCAGTAGTGCAGCGAAGAAGAATAGGCCTCAGATATTTGAATTTGTCGTGCCTGACTATACATGCTGCGTGTTTACCAGAAAAGTGTGTAATATTCTAAATATTTGTTTGAATAGACAGATTTTTAAACATTTGAAGATGACCGATGTTGAAATATTACAATTAGATATATGGAAAGGTGACTGGGGTCTTCCATCTATTAACATAGAATGTTTGCAAGTTCTGGTATGTATATTATGTATAGGTTATGACAAACGTGTATCAAGACATTATAATATTAATATAATTTTTATCTAATATTTATAATTTACTGAAAACACTTTAATTGTAGTTGCATAACCTAAAATTACTAAATATAATTTTTTGTTTTTAATTAATTTGAAATTATTTTCTCGGCAAATATATCAAACTTTCAAGTAATTAATGTTTGGAAAATAAAATTCTAATATATCAAGTTTATGATAAGTAAATGTATGACAAATTACACATATAGAATGATCTATTTATTTATATATGTAATGATCTATTTATTTTTATCAGGTAAAATACATTGTAAAATATTTACATTATTGATTAAAAAAAAAATATTTGAAGATATAATTACACAGTTTGAAAGAACATATATATCCTTTTGGGTTAAATAATTCCAACCTCAGGATTTATAATTTATAATTTTTCTTTTAAAAGTAATGAAGATGCTCCTAATGGTTAGGATAAATGGACCATCTTATATATTTGATAATTTCATAATAATGTTTTAATGAAATATTACAGTTTAATTATTACATTTTAAAAGAATCTAATTTTAAATATTTAAGATTTGCAACAAACAATTTTATTTTCAATAGTCACTATTGGAAGAAATATATTTTTTAATTAACTAAAGAAGCTTTGTACATATATATACACACATATATGTGTGTGTGTGTGTGTGTGTGTTCTGTGTAATATGATATATATAAGATTAATGTCACAATGATTTCATACCTTCTGATGTACATGTTAGTGATATTGTGGGCAGTTTATTGCATGATTTGCTATTGTGTTGTGATGAATTTATGTGCTGAATAGATATGTCTACAATATGCGAGTCAGCATGTATGTCAGAAAGCATGAAATTATACATCATATAATACTAACTCATGTTAATCTGTATAGAGCATCACTGAGTCTATTATTTTTTTAGAAATTATTAGGGACAGAGTAAAAAATTATTTTTTGTAAATTTCAAATTTATTTAAGCATTACATACAATGAATAAATACTATCATTAAAAATTTTAGAAAGACAAATAGCAACTATTTCTTAACTTTTTAATATTTTTTTCTTGTATATCAATTTATTATGTATATTATTCTGTATGTATCAAAGTATTAATGCAAGATCATCAAAAAAATACTTTGCAAAATATTAAATATATTATCTAATGTATCTTGACATAAAGTAGAATAATTAATGAAGTATAATTTTAGTATAGAATTTATTAATAGTTCTAATTTTTATATATAGGGTGTTCCGAATTTAATGTCAAAACTTTATGAAGATACTTAAGTTGATACTTCATCAACTAACTACGGTAGTTACTAAACCGGTTTTAAGTTACCATGTAAACTTAGTCAATGTTTGTGATAACATTGCTGTATTGCAGATTTATTATGTCGCAATATTGTTATAATATTGCTTTGCAATATTGCAACAAGCGAATATTTTAACGTTGTTGCAACCCAAAAACAACGTTGCAGCAACATTTCGCAATAAAATCGCAATATTGCAAAATAACATTACTGCAATGTTGCTGCAACATTGCTGTGCTATATGGGAATTTACAACTACGTTTGTTTTTTTGTGATTTTCTATAAAATGAAGCAAAAACGAGCATATCCCTAAGGGACATTTTCTCTTAGTTTATCGATCTCCTACATGTTCCCGAAGATTTAAATTTGGGACATCTTGTATAGATGTATCAATGCATTTACGTGGTATAATTGAACTCTTTAATGTATTTTATGTAGGTATTTTATAAGATATTTTATTGTGATATATTTTCATCAAAGATATTAGATATTTCGTAGTATTTTATTTTAACTATCTTCATGTTTTTATGTATGATAACGAAAACTATTCATTTATGTAAAAAAACTAATTCTATTAAAAAAGTAAGTAAAGTTATTTTTTTATTTTTTCGCTTTTGGAAAGCCTGCCAATAATATTTGTTTCATAAAGGACTCTCTAAGAAGTTTTAATTTGTTTATTATTAGGATTTGGAGACTTTTCTTACAGACCACTTCATATTTTCTACTTGATTATGAACGGAACTTTAAAACGGACTTTTAATTAAATAATATAGATATAGGAAAAATAATTTTTATTTTGTTCTACAAGGATATACAGAGTACAGTTCGCTATAGAACCAGATATTGTACAGATAGAACACATTAATTTCAAAAGATTTTCTATCATTTTTTCAACGTAAAATTTCGAGATATTGAAGAAAGATGATTGACGAATCGGTCAGACATTTTTTTATAAAATCTTCCCACATTGCACAAAATGTCACAGTGACATCACCATAGACTTACAATAGAGTCATAATGTCATAGAAAAATTGTGACGTTACTGTGATATTATTAGAAGATCACAGTAATGAGTTGTTATCTATACTCTGTGATGTTTATGTTATAGTAATACTACTGTAATAGTACTGTAGTAATACTACTGTAATAGTTACTGTGATGTTATTAGAAGATCACAGTAATGAGTTGTTATCTATATTCTGTGAAGTTTATGTTATAGTAATATCGCAATGATGTGCTATTTTCATCACAGACGCAATGTTGCAGTGACATCATTATAAATGATATGTCACAATTATATAGCTTGTATATCACAAAATGGTTACATATATGTAACAATGATGTTAGGGAAATTTTACTGGAATAATTAAAATGTAAAACAACGTTTAATTTAAATCACTTAATTTATAGTTAATTTTTATATGGATTTATTTATATGGAATATACAGCTATTACAGTAATCAAGTTAATATTTTTATTAATAATTTTACTAACAGTAACTTTTTGTATATACTGATATCCTAGGCAGCAAGCTGTCGTTATTTTGACATCAATATGTCGTCATTATTGGTCAGTAACGTCATTTGTCTTTTAAGAAAGCGTATTTAACATCATGCTTTAAGACGTCAAAATGACTTTGCAAAATAATGTTATGATAACGTTTAATTTACCATATTATAGACGAATTTCTTTTTTGAATAAAAAGATAAATTTGCTACTCTTATAGATATATTTTCATATAATAACGTTTCAACATTGCATATTGCAGTGCAATGTTGCAAAGACATTGCAGTGACATTAATTTGAAATATTATTTTAGCAATATTAATGAGAAGTATATGTATATTTTAAAAATAAAATTATGTAACTGTATTGAGTGATTTATTTGATTTTAAAATATAACTACTACACTACTAAAAATATAACTACTACATTTATTTTAAAATATAACTATATATAAAATCAATTTGTGAAATACTAATTTCATCACTGTGATGTACAAATTTCATCACTGTAATATACAAATTTTCTCACTGTAAAATTTCTCTTTATATCATAATAATGTCACAGTGATATTACACATGTGACAAAGTGGATATTGGCACATCACCATGACTTCGCTGTGACTTCATTGCGACATAGTTTATTGTCACAGAGTAACGTTATTGTGATGTCACTGTGACATTTTGTGCTATGTGGGTTGTGTTTATAGAGCTTGTTTCACAATATTGCGTGCTCTATTTCGTCAATTATTTTTTATTAATATCTTGAAATTTTACGTGGTTGTTTGAAAAATAATGAAAAATTTTTAGTTTAGTTTGATATGTTTTATCTACACATTACAGCAGATACTCTGTATATGACGCTAGTTTGTAGTATAACGCTGATAGCGAACGTGTTAAAATGCTAAAAAGGAATTACCCATCTATCTCTAATAGTTTTTAAACAACCAGCTTGTAGCACTTAGCATACATCATTTTATATATATATATATATATATATATATATATATATATATATATATATATATATATATAATTAATACCTTGTACAAGGAATATACATTTATAAACAATATAAACAAAACATGAATATAGGAATACTCCAACTGTCTGATAAAGAATATACGAGAAAAATAAAAATGAGAAGAAAACAACATATTATTAACTTTTATCTATTTTTCTTTCATTTTATGAGAATCTAAATATATTTTAAATATTTGAGTAGAAAAGCACTATGTCTTTCAATTTCAATTACCCAGAATATTAATTATTATAATTATTGTATTAAATAAGTCGTAAGAGAACTTAAAAAAATTATTAAATTTTCAGAAATAGTTTCTGTAGCTTCCTTTTGATGGATAAATAAGTGTTTTCAATAATAAAAGTTGACATTTCATTGGCTAACACTTTTTTCTATGCTACAAGAATATGAAAGCTTTCTAAAATCTCAAAAATCTTTTTTTTAGCTACTATTATTAAAAAGAGGAGTGTCAATAAGTTTTTCTGTTATTTGTGAAAGCAATGTTGGAATCAATGGTTAGTATTGATAGTTCAAGTCCCAAGTATTTTGAACAAAAATAATTTTTCTTTGACCATGCAATGTTTTATTGTCAAAGGAGGCATTTGTAAGTATTGTAAACTTATATGTTCATGAAAAAAGAAAAAATAATCAGGACACGTTTCTAATACATAAGATGCTTATTTTTATACTGTACACAGAAAAAAGTCTACTTTAGATATATTTTTTGATTTCTTTTACATTGTTCTGCATTAACACATACTTTCTCTTTTTGCCATAAGCATTTTTGAAATGCTGTGTGTATGTGTGTGTCCTAATCTTTTTTTCTTTTAGCATACTAGTTTATGATACTTACAAACTGAAAAAAACCGTAAAATTATTAAATTGTCTAATACCAAGTTAAACGTAACGAATACCCGTTCTGGTAATAAAGTATTTCATGATCAAAGAAAGATTTTTTTATGTAGTATTTTTGAACTACCATACTAAACTAATATTATTTTCAAAAGATTTAGCGTAGGCAGGAAAACGACCTTTTATTGACATTCTTCCTTCGTATCGTATGTTTCAATTATTAATTAATGTAAGATAACTGTTATTTTATAATGTAGTATTTATATTATTTATAGGCATATGCTAAATTCAATGGAGTACCTTTAAAGGTAAATCTCACAAGCAATCCATTTAAAACACCAAATGGCCGGTTACCATTACTTAGAGCTGGTATAAATACTTTGGATACAGTTAAAGATATATTGCCATTTTTTAAAGCAAAACATAATTCAGACTGCATATTAACCGATAACCAGTACGCTGATGTCATGGCTTATGATGCTCTACTTAAAGAAAAGTTGAATCCAGCCTTGCAATATATATGGTATGAAATATGTAGTTTACTAAAATAATATATAACTCAATCTTTATGGAAAAGAAATGATTATACATGAATTCTGTCTCTATATAATCATGTAAAATACATAATTATATATATATTTACATCGAACAAAATGCTCTTATATAAATACAATCGAGGTAAATGCTTATGTTTCTGGCAGTTTATAATGCCAATGTTTAATGGAATGAAACTATTTTTTCTTTTCTCTATTCAACATTTTTTTCCGTATAAACATATAGGGTAAATAAAAAACTATTGTCACCTCGAATATTTTCGAAGTAAGAAACAAAAATTATTTTCAGATTTTTTAAACTATTCTACTTAGAAAACAATTTTTCTAATGATGATTACGTTTTTTCTGAAAGGAATAGCTTCGAAAAAATATTCAAGATAGTAATAGTTATTAACTAATCCTATATATAATTATATATATAATCGCGACCATATAGAGACAAAAAATTCATGTATGCATGATATATAATTATATATAGAATAATAGCTAATTTTGAAAAACGGAATAACACAACGAGAGTCATGTAATACAAGATTGCGTGCAAAAAGCACACCTCTTTAAATCACTTGTTATTTACCGTTAATTATTGTTGAAAAGATCATAAGAAGCCATTTTTCCTATACACTGGAAGCTATCTTTCATTAGGCATATCTATAAAGCCCGTTCTAAGTCTATAAAGCGCTTTCTAGGCGTTCATTGGCTTATATATTTAATTAAATATGAAATAAATATTATGAATATTACAAAATATCATAAAATATATACTATATAATGATATATATAATAACATATTACAAAATTATATAACTTTTCTGATTATTTGAACTCATTTAACCTGTATACTGTGGCTGTATAACAAATTGTCGGATATTTAGTATATAATATATAATCATGTATTATTTTATTTAATTATATATGATTATTTTTTCTTGTGTTGTGGACGTATACTTATGTGTCCTACATAAGATGTTATTAGCTGTTTTCTCTGAAACTATGAAAGATGATGACAATATGTTAGTTTCTTATTAGTTTGTTACGCAAAAGTTTATATTTCCGACTAACTTGCTTGAATCTTAACAAAATATATCTGAAATTTTTTTATTTTGCAAAGTTCGGGAATTATGGTAACCTAAAGATAGATACGAAAGAAATTAAATTTCATGTTTTGTCGGTAAACTAGAAGAATACTGGCAGTTATATACTTTTATATTAAATTAATCTAATAGGCAAATTAATCTAATTACGGTATGTGTGTGTATGTGTGTGTTACAATCGGATAATCATTAGTAAAAATATTAATGAACAAGTTTGTATAACATAAGTGAATATGACGCACTAAGCAATTTCATAATTGTACAAACATTGGCAGACATTTGGTATAATATTAAGAAAAGAATTCATAAATATTTGATAATAAATGTACATTTTTTTTAATTAATTAATGAAGTATCTTATAACCGACAAAGCATGGCAGTTTCTTTCGTTTGTATCTCTACGTCATCCTAATTATCAAATAATGTAAAATAAAAAATTAAACAAAAATTTTGTAATTATGTGTAAGAGTTAAAAAAAAATTTGTAACACTTTAGACGAGATACTCTGTATGAGTATTAAACCAATATTATTGAAGCAAATAAACAACGAGCTACAGTTATGATTTTAATTTATGTTGAAAAGATTATAATTCCGAATAACGTCAGTAAGGTTTTAACTGTCACTTATTGTTTGTTAGAAATTATTAAAAAAGCTAGTCACATGTAAATCTATATAATAGTGTATATAGTATTATATGTATATATTATGTGTATACTAACAAGAGAATTCATCGAAAGTGCGATTTTGATAAACTTTGGATATATTGCAGAAAAATAAAAAATATTACAGCCATTTGATATTTTAGGCTTTCGCAGTGTCCATACATATTAGATTTGGTTTCCGGATTGGAGCCGCGTGAATTTTTCTTCGTTTGATTCAGACGTTTCGCGAACATTTCAGTCCGCTTCATCAGGGAGGAACGATCCAATGCCGAGTTGCTCCTGAGAGGTCTTCCTTTATATAGTAGTTGGTACAGGGAGAAGAAGAAAGGAGGAGACAGGAAGGTGGGGGGTTGGCAGGGAGATGGTGGTGGGAAATTTGTTGTTTGTCATGTTTTGGAAACCGGGAGGATGGATTGCCAGATGGGACCGATTTTTTGTCCATTATCCCTGTTGAGATTGTTGGTGCTTTTGCTTTCTAAGGATTCTCTGTATTTCCTAGGGAAGTAGTTGTTGGTTTTGGCCAGTACTGTTATTTCGTTGAACAAGATTTTGTGTCCGTTTCTAGATTGTGTTCCACTAATGCTGACTGCGTTACATTTTTCAGTTTGACTGCGCTTTGATGTTCCTTTATACGTGTGCTCACCATCCTCCCGCTTTCTCCTAGACTTTACCACAGGAGCATGGGACAATATATACTCCAGGAGTGTCTAATGGAGGTCTTCTGTCTTTTGTTCAGATACTGTCCTATTTTTTGTTGGTGGTTTGTAGATGGTTTTGATATTGTGTTTTTTCAAGATTCTGCCAACTTTATCTGTAATTTCCTGTATTTATGGAAGGAAAGTAGTGATGGAGTTTCGTTCTTTTCGAGTTGTTCAGTCCGTGTGTTTTGATGTCTTCTGGTTTGATGTTTCCTGATTGTTTTGTTAGGTTTCCTGTAAACTTGGTAATCTAGAAAGCCATCTGTTTTTCTTGTGACTAGGACATCCAGGAAAAGGAGTCTGTTATTTTGTTCGATTTCCATTGTGAAGGTAATGTTGGGATGTTGTGTTGAACGCATGTAGGAATTCCTGGAGTTTTTCTTGTCCGTGTTGCCAGATGACGAAAGTTTCATTTATATATCGGAGCCATATTCGGGGTTTCAACTGGCACTTTTGGATGACTTGGGATTCGAAATGTGCCATGAAGATGTTAGGTATGATTGGAGAAATTAGGGATCCTATGGCTGCACCTGAAATTTGTTTATAGAATTGATTATTGTAGCAGAAATGTGTATTAGTGAGGTAGTATTCGATTAGAGAGATAAAATCGGAAGAGACTTGTTTTGAGGTCTTGATTATTTTGATGGTGTCTGGAATTGCGACCTGCGTGAATAAGGATGATACATCGAAACTTACTAGGATGTTGTTTGGTTGAAGTTGGATACCTTTTATTTTCTGTGTGAAATCCGCCGTTTTTGATCGTGTAGGGAGTGTTTTTGCTGACAGTTTACTAATTAAAAAGCGTGCCAGTTTGTATGTTGGGGAGTTTATGGCGCTCACTATAGGTCTGAGTGGTATGTTGATTTTGAAGACCTTGGAAAGGCCTTATAGTTTTGGAGATGTTACGTTTTTTTGCCAAGTCATTCAAAAGTGCCAGTTAAAATCCCGAATATGGCTCCGATATATAGATAACACTTTCGTCATCTGGTAACACGGAAAAGAAAAATTCCAGGAATTCTTACATGCGCTCAACACACAACATCTCAACATTACCTTCACAATGGAAGTCGAACAAAATAATAGACTCCCTTTCCAGCATCCAAAGCGAACTCAAGGATTTCAGGAATACTCTTAAAAATAATGGTTACACGACAACATAGATAAACAAAACAATCAGGAAACATCAAACCAGAAGACATCAAAACACGAACTGAACAACTCCAGGGACAGACAAAAGAACGAAACTCCATCACCAACTTCCTTCCATACATACAGACAAAGTTGCGCAAAGGGAGTTACAGACAAAGTTGGCAGAATCCTGTAAAAATAATATCAAAACCATCTACAAACCACCAACAAAAATAGGACAGTATCTGAACAACCCAAAAGACAGAAAACCTCCACTAGACACTCCTGGAGTATATAGAGTCCCCTGCTCTTGCGGCAAAGTCTATATAGAAGAAACCGGGAGGATGGTGAACACACGTATAAAGAAACATCAAAGTGCAGTCAAACTGAAAAATGTAACGCAGTCTGCACTAGCGGAACACAATCTAGAAACGGACACAAAATCTTGTTCAACGTACTGTTGAAATAACAGTACTAGCCAAAACCAATAACTACCCTTAAGAAATACAGAAAATTCTTGGAAATTCAAAAGCACCCCAACAATCTCAACGGGGATAATGGGCAAAAAATCAGTCCAATCTGGCAATCTGTCCTCCCGGTTTCCAAAACATGACAGGCAATAAAATTTCCCACCACTATCCTCCCTTCCAACCCCCCATCTTTCTGTTTCCTTCTCCCCTCTTTCCTCTATGCCAACTACTATATAAAGGAAGACCTCTCAGGAGCAACTTGGCATCGGGTCGTTCCTCCCTGATAAAGCGGACTGAAATGTTTGCGAAACGTCGGAATCAAACAAAGAAAAATCCACGTGCCTCAAACCCGGAAACCAAATATTAGAGCCATATTTTCACATGTGCTTATTTGAATGTTTCGAAGTTGAAACAACTTTCTGGAAATAACCTTCTGGATTTTTTTTAGTTTTTATCAAATATCTTTTGAACTATATGAAAAATAATATATGAAAAAAAATATTATAGAAAAAGATTATGTCGAGAGAGAGAGAGAGAGAGAGAGAAAGAGAGAGAGAGCTACTTAAAATAACAAAAAACCAATTTTTATATATCACGTCTATATCAACCGGAAGAATTCCTCATAGAACTTGATATGACAACCTAAACGACACACACGCGAAAACAAAACGGAATTTCGATCATCAAAGCAAAATACAGAAATAAGGTTCGGATTCAATCACGAGCCTGACAGGACTTCAGGGCTGGTTGATTTAAATCAAGTTTAGTTAGTAAATTGATAGAAACATAGTTGAAAAAAATCAATGAAAAAATTAATGACAGAAGGTAATCTAAAAATGAGTTTGGAGACACTTTTGTTTACAACTTTAAGCATAATCTTTTGAAGCATGGTATTTGAAGAAGGTTTAATGATATT